ATAACTCCTTTTCACACCTACCCATAACAGCTAGATAAGCCCGCGTTCCAGTCTTTTAAACAGTAACACTTTCGTGAGCAAAGATTCCACAAAGGCATACCACAAGGGGCAAACCTGTCTCTCATACCCATTCAGTCAGTGTCGTTATTACATACCACAACGATATAGATGATGTAGTAGCGACAGTTCCACATACCGTGTTACAGTTTATCACTATGAAAGGAAAACGTGCAAAAGCATTTTTTTTTTTTTGATACGAGAGAGCGACGGCTGGAAACAAGGAAGAAGGGAGAAAAAAGAGTTAGATATTTTTTTTCGTTTTTTATTCTTTTATCTATTTATCTGTTTGTTTGTTTTCATTTGTTTATCTATTCTTTTGTTTACGTCCGTTTATATACTCTTTATTATCTACCCTTTTCTTTGTTTATTCAATCATATATTAATCTATTTACTTATTTACAATAATACGTTAAACGAAACAAATATATCACGTGATTTATTATTACTTGATACGACATATTTTATAAAAGAATAAAATTTCGTAAACAAATATTAGATATGAGGATTTAACAATTGAATAAATGAAAAAGATAGAACACCTGGTGAGAGATTACAATAACATGCACTTGATAGATGTTGAGTAATGTTGCATGATACAGAGTAATGCAAATCACAATGAACTGTCTGCGTTTAAGTTGTATTTACCTTCTTGTTTTTATATGGAAAAAAAACTCAACTAACGGTCTCCAATATAGTAAAATATATAATCAAATAAAATGCGTATATCTGAAGAGAGAACGAAAAGGTTAATGTGTTCAAAGAAAAGCTGGAATCCAACAGCTGTATTATACACCGAATTCAGGTCTTTAACTTTAATCCAATCGTGCCACTTTTTATGTGCAAATGTATATTTGTGTATGTTTTTACACTGACACACACACACACATACACACACACACATACATATATATATACATTATATATATATAATATATATATATATATATATATATATATATATATATATATATATATATATATATATATATATATATACATACATATATATATATATATATATATATATATATATATATATATATATATATATATATATATATATATATATATATATATATGTATGTATATATATACATATATATATACATATATATATATATATATATATATATACATATATATACATATATATATATATATATATATATATATATATATATATATATATATATATATATATATATATATATACATATATATATATATATATATATATATATATATATATATATATATATATATATATATATATATATATATATATATATATATATATATATATATATATATATATATATATATCGTACGTGTCTATGACTACGCGCAAAATCATGCAATTTTTTTTCCTTTTCCATATCTTTCTCACTTCATTTCATCCTCGATTCAGCCTTCCAAATTACCCCAACGCTATTATAAAGGAAATAAGCATCTAATGAAGACAGATGTGACGTTATCTGCGCCTGAGAACAAGGATGTTAAAGAGAACAAGTGAAGAGCAAATGGCGCATTATCGTCAAGGGAAATGGGCGTGTCTTGACAAGCGTGGGTTAGGTCTGTCATGTCCCAGAATGTGCGAGATGGTTTTAGTGGTGTAAACGATATAATGATAATGATGATAATGGGGATAATAACAGTGATGATAATGTTTTTGGTAATGAAGGTGATGAGGATGAGGATGATGATGGTGATGATGGTGATGAGGATGATGGTGATGATGATGGTGATACTAATGATGAAGATGATGATGATGATGGTGATGATGGTGATAATAATGATGAAGATGATGATGATGATGGTGATGATGATGATGATAATGATGAAGATGATGATGATGATGGTGATGATGATGGTGATGATGATGATGATGATGATAAAAGTAATGACATATATGATAAAAATGGTAAGAATGATAATGGTAATGAAAATGGTAATGCTATTAGGAATAATCATGATAATAATAATAATGATGCTACAACTACTAATTATGATAACAGAAATGATAATGATGATAATAAAAATAATAATGATATTGATGATGATAATGCTAATAATGCAGACGATGATAATGATAATAATAACAACAACAATAACTAAAGCAACAACAACAGACACAGCAGCAACAATTGCAACAATAGTAAAAATAATAATTACAACAGTGATAACAATATTGGTGATTGTAATAACAATAATAGTGATAAAATAATCATTATTATAGTAATGATAATAACAGAGATGGTAATGTATGATAATATTGATAATATGACAATAATGGTAATGATGATAATGAAAATAATAATGATAATAATGATAATAATGATGATGATCATGATAATAATAATGATAATAATGATAGTAATAATAATAATAATA